TTTAATTAATCTATCTATATTTTAGAAAAGTCATGATATTTTGCACAAATTTCTTTACTCGCTGACAATTTCTTAGAAGAAAACGAAAAGGACAGTTATTAAAGCCAATCAAAAATTTTTAAAGCTTTTTGACCCTAAAAGAAATGGTACGGCAATCAAACCTTAATGTTGTGAAGAGAAGAGTATTCTTGTTGTTGTTGTTGTTATTAATGCGACTTGCCGCACGGGCAAGCGTGCTTTGTGAAACCGTCAATTTAATGCAGAGTGTGTGTTTCTTGTTTTTCAGTGGCGCCATCTATGGCCAAGAATTCGACTTCTTCCACACCATACGTCGCACCAGTTTATAGGACGGACCCATTCTTACATCCATTCATTCATCCACAGATCGTAATTTTGACCTGAATCAGAGAGCGATCGATCTCCAACCCAGTACCCCCAGAGGTTCTGACCAGGCTATCCCGGCCACAGAGCATTCTTGGAACCTGAAAACATTTTATTTCAGCTAGAGCCATCGTTAGTGTATTTTATTGGTACTTTTCATGCTTTTGGTAGTAATTACGCAAAAGTTGGCGACGCATACATAATGATGTGTAGAACAAAATATACAAATTCCTCTAAGAATATTGTTTATACCTATTCAAGTAAATAGTCAGTCATCTTTAGTGTGTTTTATTGGTACTTTTCATGCTTTTGCTAGGAATTACACAAAAGTTGGCGACGCTTAGCATGTCGAATCAGCTTGAGTGTGTGTAGTAGGGGAGAGTGGGGTCAATTGTAACAGGGTACGATTGTAACGGAGCAAAAATTTCGAGTGTCGGGTTCTAGATTTGGTTCCTAGGTGGCGCACAANNNTACAAGAGCAATTCCAATTTTGAATATATATATAATTTCTAAATTAAATCTCAAATTAAATGAACTTCATATAACATTAACTACATCTCATTATAATATATTATAATGCTACCCTGAAAAATTGTGTAATGGAAATCTCTAGGTGACTCAATATAGACCTGGCTCAATGTAGATTTCCTTCATTATTTACTCACATTTTATTTTCCAGACTTTGTTGAACAGTCGACCCAATTTGGAGTTTATGGCTACCAATGTTCAACGCCGTAGTCTTGTAATTTTGAACCCAATTCAGAAGACAATGGGAACTCCAGGATCAAGTATGGGGAGAAATGTTTCCCTCGCGGAGGACTTTTGGAGGGAAGTAACCCGCATTTTCGTTACATAGAGAGGAAAACCATGAAAACTTCTAATTTTAGTCTGGCGGTAAAGGGACTCTAACCCATGGTACGTATACAACAGATGATATTTCACGCCAGCTCTGTGGTTGGTTCGAGCCGGGTGCGGAATTCGTATTGATAAGCTGGACTTCGAACCCGATTCACCTCATCGTGAGTCCGATGCACTATCCCCTGATCCAAAACAGCTTACGCATTTTATAATTATAACGTGTATGCCTCTATATGTATGGATTAGAAGTAAATAATAACATTAGTATATGAAAAAACTGTGAAATTTCGAAATGCGAAGCCAAAATTATTTACGAAAATTAAATGACCTATTGAGAGCTACAATCTCCTAAATCAGTGTTTCCCAAAGTGTGGTACTTGTACCCCCAGGGGTAGGGGAACAGTTTAGTGGGGGTACGCGTTCTTATTCGAAATATCTGTCAACAAACGAAAATTTCAAAAAATTTTATTTAAAAAAAAGCAAGTCATAAAAATTGACGATTACGTGTTTTTCTATTGGCTATTTTTTGCAGAGTTAACAGTTAATAATTAGTTGAGTCGACAGCCAGTTGTTTTAAACTTTTGTGCAATTTTTTTTCCTAGTAAAAAATACATTCATTTTTTTATTAATGGTACACAGCGTTACGAAAAATTTAGAAAGGGTACACAAAAGTCATAAGTTTGGGAAGCACTGCCCTTAGTTAAAATTATAGTTTGTGTGGAAAAGGAAAAATAATTCCAGTGCTCCCCAAATGTTTCTTTCACATTCCTCACATAAAAACAAACCTGTCTTTATGGTGAAGCACAATTTAGCGCCATCTAATTTAATCTTATCATTTAATAGCGTAATTTTAAAATTAATCATTATTACAATATTATACACTAATTTAATCATTTGCTAACGTAGTTTTAAAATTAATTTAATTATTATTACAATAATTTCCAATAATTTAAGCTAAGCCTGAAGCACTACTTTACAAGAAGCAGTATTTTGTTTTATTCACTACTCGTATTGCAAAATTTAAAACACTTTATTTATATTTTAAAAACTTTGCTTAGTATGAATAATATTAAAATTTAACAATAATTTGAAATAATATTTTATGTTTTAGAATGTTTAATAAATCTATATTTCTGCGGACTTGAAAATGAAGTTAACTAAAAATTGATAACTCACAAAACAAAATAGAACACCAGTCTTTCACACTAACAGTTTCAACCACTCTGCTATAAATAAAAAAGCAGCAAATTTTTAAAAAATAATTCAAATTTGTAACCTTAAAACATAAAATTACATTTTCAGCAAAGTTAAACTATTTATTTATGTGTCTTCTATTATTATATGATAAGGAATATATAGAGAGAGTTGAATTTGCTTATAACGAGTCTCGATTTAACGAAAACCCGGTTTTAACGAGAAAATCGAAAATGCTTGGTTGGTCTAGTGTTAAGTCTATTGGAGCATAGCTCACATTTAACGATCTAACAACGGTTTAGCGAGAAATATTTTTGAGATTTTTAAAATTTGTACTTTTCTACCATCTTTCCAGCTCAGCTAGTCCCTTCTTGAAAAAATTCCTTTTATATCCCTAAAGCAACTAAAAGCTAGAGATGATCCATAAATCGATAAAGAAACAATAAATAGTTCAAAGCAAATTATTTAACATCTTTAGCACTGTGCAGAAATAAAATAAAAAATTAAGTAATTAATATATTTTAAAATTCAATAAATATTTATGAACTTTTATATATTTCTATTAAAAAACTGTTGTTTACGAATGGTTTTGTTATAAAGAGCAAATATTTCGGTCTCTTCGCGTTTACAGTTTCCGATCTTCTCGTGTTCGTCACACACAGCGAGAGATTTTTCTTGAATTTTTAAAATGGTATCAAATGTTTCATACAAGAGCAATTCCAATTTTGAAATATCTAAGTTGATTTACAATTGTTTGGTCAGCACTGTATGTAAACAATTAAAATGAGTAAGACCTGATTATAGTGCCATGAAGTTTTTCTTCTTCTTCCTTGTCAGCGCAACAGCCCCTTTCATGCCGTGGCTACCTCAACAGCTTAGGCCGTTTTTTATTATATAACACGATGCCGACAAAATGGACCCAATTGTCACGTGACGATTCCGGGTCCAGTGAAGTATTCTTGCTACTTATCTTTACAATAGTACTTACGTCAGCTCTGACCTTGTCAAGTATAGTCAAGTATAAGATTGGTCAAGAAATTACTTAAAACGCTATAATATGACGTAAATAAAATATTCCTTTACTTAATAATAATATTATTACTATTATCTGGAAGTGCGAACATAATAAAAGCGTAAAAAGTAGGAAATTGTTGCTAACATACTGTATATATATATATAATGTCCCATATTTCCCCCTTAATAATAACCTATAATTTTGATACTCGGTCAGATATAATATTGTAATATAATATACTACATACCAACGGAAATATTTATAGACAGATGAGGGGGTGCACAATGGGGCATAACATGGATTCCTAGACAAACCATAGAAATTACTTAAAAAGTTTGATATGAGTTCTGAGACCTAGTTGAAGGCGTAGCGTTATGTAGTTTGAAGACTAAAAATACCCGAGGGTGAGTTGTATTCTCGGTCACCGTCAATTGTTAAATATTATATTTAAGAAAAATATTTTTTACTTATTTATTTACCAATATAGTAACGTAAATAAATTTTTCCTTCACAAATTTTCCTAAGCGCGTTTATAATGAACCGATAGAAATGTTTTTCTTATGTACTATATTTATGTAATACTCCATATTTCTCCTTAATATTAACTTATAATTTTGAAACTAGGTCTGATATTATATCATAATATAATATGCTACCATTTCAAGTGAAATAATTATAGACAAACTAGCGAACGCACAATAGCATTCTGAAAGAGTTATTTTTATTTATTGAAATATAGCATGTTATGATTACAGCTGTATTGTTGACATCGTGTTTCGATCTTGCCTGTATTATCATGTATGGAATGATATGGAAAACATCTTGTTCATATATATGAAATGTGTTAACAGTGACGAGATTTCCAGAAGTATGAAGTTGGTGGAAAATGTAAGAAAATTGTTATATCAATATTCAATGTAAAACAGTAAGAAAAAAATATCTATGTTATCATGTATAAAATCATCGGGACCTTTTTGTTAACATCTTTTTGAAAGCTGAAAAAATTCTCTCGTTATTTAAACCCAATTCATGAATCTGAATCGTTGTACAAACAGTTTAAATTTCATAGTTTGCAACTGATATTTTGAGAACAATTTAGTTTTTATCAAAAATAAATAAATACAATTTTAGACTTGGAACTATCGAGAAAAATAATTAAATAGAAATTATTGTAATAGAATTAAATAGAAATTATTGTAAATAAGAATATTATTTTGAACTTTGTCGTAAAAAATTCTGCCACTTTTTTTTTTCTGGAACAAGGCATTTTCTATTAAAATTATTTAACGACAATATGTCTCCATCTGTCATTTGTAAGGCGATTATTGAAATTGATATAATCGAAAAACAGCAAATGATTCCCACTTTTATTGTATCTCCTATCGAAAAGTATTGGTTGAATAAAAAAAGAACATCTACGAATTCTTTGTATGGAGGGGGGAAGTTAGAAAATACCTTTGGAAATGCATCCCGCGCCCCTGGATATGGGCTTCTGCAGAAGAATGTGTGCGCCCTCATCCCTCAGCAAGTGGGCGGTTGCGCGCGCAAGGTCCCCTTTTTCACCATGAACCCTGAGTGAAGTGATGGTTCTTCCTGGTGCTCTCGAATTCCCCGAGAAAAATAAACAAAACGATACAATTCAATCAGACGATATTTAAATTTAGAATAATATTAAACTTCTATCTTCGAGCTGAATTTCTGTATTACCGTTTTAAACCCATAAGCAACACCCTTTATCGATTGGAACCTCAGATGAAACATGACTCGATGGAAGAAAGAGGAGCAAGCATTCGTCCTCTTCTCAAGCAGATGCCAGATTCCAATGGAATTCGGTAAGATAAATAGTCGTCTGCTTTTAAAAATAACATTTCGAATTAAAAATTTTGGGAGATGGTGAAAAACATACTTTGTTTTAAGCGTGTTTATATTTTGGGTTGTATTTGGTATGTAATTTGGTTGATGACTTATGGTTAAAAATTAAGGTAGGGATATAACGACGTCAGGTTATACCATAAGTGGGATAAACGAGATGTCAAAGAGAACGAGGTGATATGCTTTTACCTGCTTAGTGGTCGATCGATTTTACCCCAGATTGTTCGATTTTACGTGCGTTTTATTTGTTTTTTCTTGATTAAAAACGAGATTTTATTTTCAAATTCTTGTTATAACTTTATTTTTTACGACATTTTCAGTTTGTTTCTACATTTGTATTTGTATTTTTTCTTTTTCTTCGGAAATAAATATTTTACCGGGTAAATTAATAGAAATAATAAAATAGTGGTTGCAAAATTCACAAAATTTTTAATCTGTTATTCAATGTCTAACATTTGATTTAAAAATCACAAATTTGAAAAAATATATGTATGAATGTCTTATGAGAAAATAGCAGCTTTACATTAAAAGAACTCAATTTTGCAATTAACAATTTTTCAAAATTTGCTGGGAATTATAGTTTTATTGTAATTCTTTTAAATATCAAAATTGTTTGAATTTCTTTTTCTCACAGTTTTACATTTCAGTAACAGTTTTCTTCTACATTCAGTCCCAGTTTCAGTAACAATTTTCTTTTGTTTTCCATCGAATTTATATTTCTTCTTATCACTGTTAACTTCTTATTTTCGTGTATTACAAGTTAACAAATTAGCAAATTTATCACTTAAAGCAAAAAATTAATTTATTAACAAGTTAACAAATTAATTTTTTGTTTTCGAGTTCGATATAAGAATTACATTAATGAAAAAATGCTTCTTTTTAAAATAAAGACTTTTTACTAGCTTTTTTAAATTTAAGATTTGTACCATTTTTTTAATATTTCCTTTATTATATTTACTCATTTGCTTTTTACTTAATTTTTATTTTCATTTTTATTCACTTATTTATTAAAATTCGTCGGTCCTCAAAAAGTAGAGCATTTCAGAGGGTAAGAGGGTATAGAGATTAAGGTTCCACAATTGTTAATCACAAATTTAACCTCCAACGTCATTCTCCAGTGCTCTCCTAAAAATCCAAAACCATAATGGTGGAAATGTGATCCGTATTGTGCTCATGCCGCCTTTACTTACCAATACAAGTTGGTATCGATTATAAAACCGAGGATCGAACCCTTATACTAGTTCTTCCCAATGACATTTCAGAGCCTGACCACTGAGCCATCACGGATAAATCTGTCAATCTCATCTCATACTTTATATAACATACCGAATTCGAAAATGACAAGAAGCTGCTTTAACATGGTTTTTCGAATCAAGGAAAATAAAAACGCCGCAGTTTATACGCCTTGCACTTGAAGCCAAACAATGATTTTAAACTATATCGTCTAGCAGTAAAGAATTATCTGGGCTTTAGGAACGGATAAATAACTAATCAAATAAATAAATTAAAATTATAATAAAATAAATAGCAATAAAATAAATAAATATGCAAATTAAAAATAAATTAATTAAAAATAAATCAATTAATTAAAAATAAATCAATTAATTAAAAATAAATAAATAAATTAAAAAAAATAAATTAATTAAAAATAAATAAACTAAAAACAAATAAATTAACAACAAATAAATTAAAAACAAATAAACTTAAAACAAATAAATTAAAAACAAATGAATAAAATAAAAATCACCAATGTGCGACATTTTTCCATCCAGAAAACAATTATTAAAATCACTGCCTTATTCTTAGTTTTTGCAAATTTTAATGAGCCCAGATAATGAAGCATTAAAGTAGGTTTTTAAATAATATAAATTGTATACACACATACATATATATATATATGTAGCCGACGTTGAACAGCCAATCCAATTTTGAGTTTACGACTACTAATGTTCAACTCCGAAGCCTTGTAATTTTGAACCCAATCCAGAAGACAAGGAAACTCCTGGATCAAGTATTAGTGTAAATTGGCTTTCGTGGAGGTATTTTTTTGTGGTACTAACCCGTATTTGCATTACATGGTGAGGTAAAACCTCTCACGGTTAGCCAGATGGCAAGGGGACTCTAACTTATGATCCGTCTACCACTGAGGATATGTTACGTCAGCACTGAGATCAGTTCGAGCCGGGTGTGGAATTCGTATTGGTCATCTATCTCTGGGATTCGAACCCGATTCACCTCATTGGAAGGTGGATCCTCTATCTCTTGAGCCACCACGGCTCTCTTTTCCACTGGCAAATGTTAAAAATTAGAAAGATGTTTCTCCTTTATATACTATTAGCCTATCTAATAACATAGAAAAACCTTTTTTTTCTCTTCCGCATAGAAAAAAAAGGTTTTCCAATGTTATAAGATATGGTAATAGTGTATAGAGGAGAAACATCTTTCCAATTTTGAACAATTGCTGAACTGCCAGTGGGTTAAAGATTGAGGAGGGTTACACTTCCGTATTAATAACTGAGTTATTAACTTTTTGTGTGTTTCAGTCGAATGGGCTCGTATAAATTAACTCTTATAGCTCAAAGCCTTTTTAATTTTCCAAAGCAAGAGAAACAATTTTATGAAATTTGAAAAACAAATTGAGTTTTTTGCAAAAACAATTTTAAATAAATGAAAATTGTTAACAAATAGAACGTTATTGTCTGTGATCCAATCAAGAAGGTATTGGGAATCCCAGAAAATATTAGACCACTTTGTTTCACCGAACGAACAAATAGTTATTCGAAACGCCATAGATTTCGCCCGATAATAAAACAATTTTCTCGCTTAAATATTTAATTTTAAGGAAAATTAATATTTAAGTAATAACTCAGTTAAATTCCAAACTCTAAAAAAATTCACACAAAAACATATTACAAAACCCATATTAAGAGAGGTGATTTTGGATCTACGAGTAGTGCTTTTAAATGTTCAATATAACATTCTTTCTATGACTGTGTATCAAATTTAAACTGAACTCAGTGGCGCGACAGCCCATAGTGGGCCAAGGCCTACTGTGCCCATCTCAGTTTACTTGACCATGGACTCTGGAGTGCACAAGTTCCTGTTGGGTGGTCAGCCCAACGTGGAACCCCCAGTGTTTAGTTCTCAAGCATGCTTGGTACTCATTTTATCTACCCACTGAAGGGATGAAAGGCTGGGTAAACCTTGCCCGGCCCGAGGATCGAACTCTGGACTAGTAGCACGAGAGTGCGAAGCCGTACCACTCAGTCAACGACGTCGTTTATCAAATACGAAACTTTAAATACAACATCAAAATTTTCTTATATGTAAAAATATATTTCAAACACATAACCAAACTTTTTACACATAAAAATAAATTACATATGTCAGATTTTTCTTACATTACACGTATGTAACTAAAGTAATGCTTTTGAAAAAATATTCTGAGAACAGGAAAGATAGAAAAAAATATTTCTTTTATAAAAAATGCGAAAATTACTCAATTTTTTATTTAAATTTATTTAAAAAGTATCAAGTTAATTAAAAAATATTTTTTTAAAGATCGTGTTTGTTTCAACGTTATGTTTAAATTGGAAACAAATATTGCCACCAATCACAATGTTTCTTATGGCGGATATTCTGTTATTGAAGGAGATTGATAAATATTTTAAAAATAACTTTTATTGTCTTATCTGGACAATTTATGACATGTTTTATGCAAATTATGATTTTTTTCAATGGAAATTTTTAAAACACATCCATAAAATGCACTTATGCTCTAAATAACAGTAATAATTCTCTTCATAAAACCAATTTAAAATCCTTGCTTTACGGATTTGACGTTATGAAATTCCCTTGATTGTATTTTTAAAACAAATGTGACAAACATGAGAACGTGTTTCATACTGAGTCTTAAATTTTAGTAAAAAAAAATTTTTATTATTTATTTGCTTAAAATTTTTAATTAAATTTAGGAAATTAATCCCGATGACAAACATAATAAAACTTATAATAATATCATAAACATTCGCATCGCAACTAACTAAGCATTCACAACTAAGCATTAGTATGAAAACATTTCTCTTATTATATTCTATAAGCATACAAAAGTTAGAAAAAAAGTAAAAGATATTCTTCCAACTGTATTTATTTAAATATTTGTTGAATATTAATTATTTAAAAAAGTTTGCAAGCATCTCTAACATGAAGCATTCTTCTTTTTAAGTAGAAAAAAAAAAGGTTTTTTCCATCAGAAATATCTAGGTGTTAAAAAAATATGGTGGAAACTCTAGATGTTTGTAAACAAAGGGAAAAAAAGAAGTTTCTATTCATCACAAATATCTAGGCGTTAAAAAATATGGTGGAAACACTAGATGTGTAAACAAAGAGGGGAAAGGGGTTTTTTTCCCATCACAAATATCTAGGTGTTAAAAAATATGGTGGAAACACAAGATGTGTAAACAAAGGGAAAAAAAGGGGGATTTTATTCATCACAAATATCTAGGTGTTAAAAGATATGGTGGAAACTGTAGAAGTGTAAACAAAGGGAGGGAAGGGTTTTTTTCTTCATCACAAACATCTAAGTGTTAAAAAATAAGGTGAAAACACTAGATACGTAAACAAAGGGGGGAAAGGAGTTTTTTCCATCACAAATCTAGGTGTTAAGAAATATGGTGGAAGCTCGAAATGTGTAAACAAAGGGAAAAAAGAGTGTTTTATTCACCACAAACATCTAGGTGTTAAAAAATATGGTGGAAACTCTAGATGTGTAAACAAAGGGGAAAAAAGTGTTTTTTTTTAATCACAAATAGTTAAAAAATATGGTGGAAACTCTAAATGTGTAAACAAAGGGAAGAAAAGGGAGTTTTTTTCATCACAAATATCTAGGTGTTAAAAAATAAGGCGGTAACTCTAGATGTGTCAACATTAACAACGCCTTTACAATTTTAGACTTTTAGCAACAGAATTAAAAAGATTTGGGATAGATTAAATAGATATTAGTTGTGAAGCATTGATAAGATTTATTAAACATCGGTTGTTATTTTGTTGTTATTTGTGTTGTTTTGTTATTTTGCTGAAGAAAGAAAATAATTCATATTTAAAATTTGTATTGTGGGATTTGGCACTTGTTTAAAAGATTTTATGGTTTAAATACCTTTTTTACCTTTATTTTCTCGGAAAAATAACTCAATTAGTTTTTTTTTATTCATTTAAATTGTGAATTTTGATAGCGTCCAACAACCTAACAACCTACAAGTTATGCATTCTGTGACATTTGGATGAATTCAGTTTATGTGAGTTTTCTATTTTTTGCAAAAGAGCCAAGAAAGGCTATAATATTAGCTATAGAGTTGAAAATGGATATACCTGAATTTATGGGGTCTCATAAGAAATATATATAAAGAGATTAACGCTGTTTTTTATCTTTAGTTCTGATAATTACTGGTATTATAATTAATTGAACAATGAATCAAGTATTTGCGCGTTCAAATTTGTGCATTTTATCGTGCTTAATTTTGAGAAATTCAATATTTTGAGCATGCATAATATTTTTCAGTTTAAAGTAATTTCTTTTTACGTAAGTAAAATTGTAATAAAATAGAGAAAATGATGAAATAAAAATTTTAACATTGCGTTTTTAGAGGGAACTAAAAAGGAAAAAATAATCTATTTTACTCAGACACAAAACGAACAGTGAAGAGCGTATCACTTTCACGTAGGGGACATCGAAGGTGAAGTTTATAACGGAAAAAAATACACCTTACGCATTTTGTTTTCTGTCTGACAATAACACTATTATATTCTCCTTTCTAAGTGTTTCTAATGTTCTAATGTTTTTTATCTTATTATTATTAATAATAATAACAATATTTTAGTCATCTGTCTGTCAATTTATTTCTGGAAATTTTTCAAAAGTTTCTAACGTCAATAAAATGTTGTGATTCTACTTGATTTATGAAACATCTCTAACTTGCATTGGTATCAGTTGAAATCTGAATTATCCAGCTAGTCAGAAAGTGGTTCGAAATTTTGAATGAATGTAAGTTATATTTGAAGATAATATTGCAATAAATTGGCCTAGCAGCGTTGAGAAAATAACTGTAAATTGTATTTATAATTAGTGTGTTTTAATAATTGTCATTAGGTATAAAGCTCCAGCGGAAAGTTGAAAACTGTAACTATTCATAATTTAATTGACAATTAAATCTCCTTTATTGATCAGAAATTGATTGATACTTATAATATCATTGACTGATACTTGTAATATCTTGATAATCTTAAAGTAAGTGGAATTTTGATTGATAATAAATTGCATATCACGATAAATTCTGCCTTTAACGGTAAAAAAAACGATGGAAATATCAGTTAATCAATTTTACATAAATTTACTTTTATATTTTCATTAATTAAAGTAAACTTTGTACTACTATTCTAGCAAGAATTCGCATACATATTCTAAAATGAATTGTTCTATTTATTTATCTACTTTGGATTTATTTATTTTACCTCTCAAATAAGGGCAAGAATTTGAAGGTATTTTAGATAAATCATTATCCCAATAAAATATAGGATAACAAAGACAAACTTTGAAAGCAATAGGAAGCTCTTGGCTTCTTAATTAACTCACTAACGTAAACGAACTCGCCATTATACTAATGCTTGGCTTGCCAAAATAAAAAGTGTTTGAACAAATTATCATCATTTACTGTTTTGAAAAAATTATACATTCTGGAATATGTTCTCGTAAGGAACAGAGCTCTAACTAGAAATTTTTCTATTATAATACTGCTAAGAATTTTAATGCCCCTAAGGAATTTTTTGGAACTTAGAGCCTTAACATTAGCTTGTCAAAAATAACTACAAAAAATCATCAAACGAAAAAGTAAATATAGTTAAAAAAAAAAAGAACAGAATTTTAAAACTATTACTAATTGGAAACTGATATCACAGGTTTTTTTGATAAATCTCAATAAAATTGTGATGACAGTATATTAATCTTCAATTATATTGTAGGAGATAATGGATGCATTGCCAACCATCTGAAGACAGCTTAGCGAAACCAGCACAGTATCTGCATCCATTTGAAGGAATAAATAATTAAGAGTCATCGTTAAAGCATGGAAGAAAAAGTGGTCAATACCAATGTTCCAGGCACCTGTGACGAAATTGTTTCCAGCGTTCCAGTACCACCCTATACCTTACTTTCAACCATTGCCATAGCAACTATAACAACTATTTTGAGTATGGTAACGATAATCGGAAATATATTGGTGATAATATCTTATAATATGGACAGAAGACTGAGAACCATAAGCAATCGATTCCTTTTAAGTTTAGCTTCAGCCGATTTATTGATCGGGACTATTTCAATGCCTCTTTTTACCACTTATCTTTTGATGGGAGGATGGACTTTAGGCGCCATAGTCTGTGATCTATGGCTTGCTTTAGACTATCTGTGCAGTAACGCATCCGTGTGTAACTTACTCGTCATTAGCTTTGATAGATACTTTTCGGTTACCAATCCTCTTAAATATCGAGCTCTAAGAACTGTTAAGTTAGCCTACTTTATGATCGGTGGTGCGTGGATATTATCGTTCATAACATGGCCACCGTGGATTGTTGGCTGGCCTTACATCGAGGGCAAGAGATCAGTCCCAGATGACAAGTGCTACATACAGTTCCTTGAAACTAACACCTACATAACCGTGATAACTTGTCTCATCGCTTTTTATGCCCCTGTCATCACTATGATTACTTTGTATTACAGAATATGGTTGGCCACAGAAGAGAGTAAAAGAGAACATGCGAACCTTCACGCTGACAAACAAATTGATCAACCAGATCCAACTCCTAATCCAGTAGCTGCTGTAGAAGAATCAACTAGCAATTTAGAAACTTCAAACAAAATGCTCTCAGATGAAGATTTTCCTGTGCCCGAGCAGGATAAAAACTGTTCCCACCACTTAAAAGCCTTTCTTTCTTCTCTATGTAGCATAGATCGCGATGAAGCAAACGATGATGACAGCCCCGGTGGCACAACACCTAGCTCAGTCGAAACTCCTATCCAGTCTTCCAGGACAACTTCCGTAACTCTTCGGCCAGATCAAATAGCTACGATAGAGGCATTACGAAAAAAAGCAGGAGATAGCATATATCCGATGAATAGAGATGAAGGTATGTATACCATAATGATTAGCATGCCCGAAAACGAACAAGCAACGGTCAAGCAGATTCCAGATGACGTTCGAATCACTCCTGTTCCGATGAGATCATCGAGGAGCACTAGTGCCCTGGTCGAGCATTCAGTGACAAATCAAAATATTAAAAGGTGCAGTTCAAGCGAAGCCTTGAGTGCTTTTAGACTAGCGAAACAAGCAAGGTTGCAAAGACCTAACGTAAAAAAAATTATAAATAAGACTCAAGACAGAAAATTTGATTCGAAAGCTGCGCGCACATTGAGCGCAATTCTGTTTGCGTTCATAATAACATGGACGCCGTATAACGTACTTGTGCTGATAAAAAGCGTTGAGACCTTTGTTAGTTGTGATGATATTATTCCTCAAGGTTTGTGGGACTTTTCTTATTATCTTTGTTACATGAACAGTATGGTCAACCCTTTGTGCTATGCACTGGCGAATGCTAATTTCAGAAAAACATATTGGAGGATTCTAACCTGCACCTGGAGGCAGAAATCAAAATTGAGCATTATTCGCGGTCTTCATTCGAAAGCCTCCTGACATAAGGCTGACAGAAGGATAAACAAACATATCCTTCATTTTACTGCACGAAATGCACCACCTCAGACAAACCCGGTATCTTATCCTACGGAATTGGTAACATACCGGGGATCGAAAGCTGATTAACAGAATTATTTTACTGTCACAACAGAATTTTGGACTTGTCAAGGTGCTGCGAGCAAGATCAAAATCGTGGTCTTTCTGTCAGCTTTGAATATATATTCACGGACGCTATATCGCGAGAGAAACCATTCAGAGCAGTTTCTTTTTCCATCTACATTAGTAATTTAAAGTAAAGAAATTAAGAAATTTCAGCTAAACTAAGACTAAACCATGAAGCTACAAATGTTGATTTTTTCAATAATAGAATGCAAATAATTTTTAACAGGATTTCTCCACGTAGAAGGCAACGATAGAACAGTGGTTAAAGGCACTAAGCTGTTATTGCGGCTGATTGAATCACCCCCAGCTCCAGATTGACTGATAGCTTGTCTTTGAATTAAAGATAACGTTGAGCGCATTACTGAATAAAATAGCACAATCATACCGTTATTCGCGAAATTGTGGAACCTTATAAACTCCACGAGCCAATGGCCCCCAAAGAGCTGTTGCTGATATACTTTACTTTACTCCTACATAGAAAGTGAGGAAGTAATACTGCCGTAATTTACTTGCATTTTGATGTTTTTAAAAATCTATTTCAGCATTTAAAGCTGCTTTATGGTTAATTCTTGGTTTATTCAAACTAATTTTTTTATTATATATTTTAAGTTACTAATGTTGATGAAAGAGAATTTGCCCTCAGTGGCCATCGGTTGCCGTTTTAATTGTCTTTGCTCATTGACTGTAATTTCTTTAACTAAACGCATGCGGTTGCGTGGGTACTAACTACTTAGATGTGTTTTTAATACAATGGATGACAGTGTTTGTAGTAAGTTAAAATAAAATTTGTTTATTTAAAGCGTTACATTCATATGTTTAACGCCGCCCCTGCTGTTATATTATCATAATCAGCATATTTAGTTGAATAATTCTCTCGTCCACTTACAGCAATCAACTTTTATTAGAATTAAAACGAAATGTTTTGATTTTCTTCTAAAAAATATAAAAAATTAAATGCAATTTTTTTATAACTTATCTTTGAATTCTATGTCACACATTGTGTGGAGAAAAGTACCACTGCAAACTAGGAGATACAGCTATTCAGAGAAATGGAAAGACCCTGTCTCCAATGGTTATCAAGTTAATTATTACATAGCTGATGTGCTTTGATAGTTACGCATTAGAATCATTAAAGGTCTAAGAAGAATGGATGTTTCTATGTGGCTGTAAAAAAGACTTCTTACATTTTCTACATTTACATGATTCCGATTAACTATGTGAACACTCGTCTTTTGTGTAAATATTGGGATGATTCTGAATTCATAAGTGTAATACAATCAGATTTCGCATTCTCACGTTACAAACCGCACGCTCCCGTACGTAGGTTTTGCACAAATCTAGAGAATCAAGATTGCTTTGTGGTAACTGTACTGCGCATATCGTACGTCAGCGAGCATACTTAATGTTATGTGAGAGAGCGAAATCTTTATATTTAGCACTTTCACGGAGCATCCTGCACGCTCCTGTACGTATGTTCTGCGCAAGTCTTATAGTGAATCAATTGTATTTTGTGGTTACTGTGCTGCGCAGAGGTTGCGCACATAAGCATGCGGTTGGCTACGTGATGATCATGAACTTATTGTTTTAAACCTTTTCTCAACCTTTCAGTGTAAATTTCAATGTACATTTTTATAGAAAACAAGTTTAAAAGTATAAAAGATAAATATCGAGTCAAGGAAGTTAATGGAGATAATCCAAAACAGTCACCATATCCCGGATTGTTGTTGGCATTTGCATTTAAAATTTTAAAATTTTCACGTGATTTTATTCCTTTTCTTTTTTAGGATTTTAAGCAAGTATTTTATGGTAACGTCATTTTTCAATATTCAAAATGTAACATCATTTGCACATTTTTTTTTTTTTTTTGAATCAGTATTTTTATAGTAATCAATCCTTTTCTAAGATTAAAAGGAATGTTTCAGTAATTTCTCTACACTCTTGGGGAAAATGTTTGCTTGATTTATCGTTTTTATGAATGCAGTACTTTTATTACTACATTTTAACTACATTTAACTTCAAATCGACAAGTTAGTATTTAAAAAAAAAAAAAAATTGAAATGTCTTATTTCCTGTAGTTTTGATGATTTTCGAGGAGTTCAGTAACGACCGACCTTAACACATGTTTCCGGAATTGTTGTAAAAACTAAATAAGAAAATTATGTACGCCGAGGATCGCAAACTAATTATATTCCAGGAAAAAATTCTATTTAAATATGACGAACTGTAAATGGAACTAAACCCTGTTTGATTGTCAGAAAAAATTACTAGGAATTCAAAGACGATTATTAGAAACTGCGGATTATTGATGATTTTCATCACACCTTCCTCCTTAGTGATTCGATAGATTTCCTCACTTAAACCTCAATTTGCGACTCCTACTTTTTTAATTTCATTTTCGACAAGATTGAAAAAAATTATTTCTCTCCCTCTCTTTTTTAATTTTTGGTGCATCTTTAGGATAACACTCAGGAATTTATAAGTCGTCAACATGAAGGTAATATATAATTGTAATTTTTATAGAATCCTAGAAACTTTTTATATAGGTTCACCCAAACCATAACCAAGTGTTTCTTATCAACTGAAATTATTTTTAATGCACATTTGCAATAGTTACTAAAATTATATTTTCTTATATTTGAATGAAAAGATTTTTAAAATTTTCTGAGCGAATTTTGCAAATTTTATAAATTTGGAACAGAAAATAAAAATAAAAATTGATGTTCAAAATGTTTAATAAATATTCATAGTATTTTAGAATCTTTTCTAAACTCAAGCATGTGAAAGCAGCGATTTTTTGTTTGACTGATAAAATTTGATCATTTATTTCTAAATTGTATTAGTTCGAAAAATGTCTAAATAAGTAAGTTAAAAAAAAATTCGTATGTCAAGAAAATAAGTAAGTTAAAAACGAATTTTTGTTTGACTGATAAAATCTGATAATTTATTTCTAAATTGTATTAGTTCGAAAAATGTCTTAATAAGTAAGTTAAAGAAAATTCGTGTGTTAAAAAAATAAGTATGTTAAAAAAGAATTTTTGTTTGACTGATAAAATCTGATCATTTATTTCTAATTTGTATTTGTACAAAAAATGTCTAAATAAGTAAGCAAAAAAAAAAATTCATTAAATTTGAAAATTTGTTTTTATTAACCTTCTTCTGGATGAGAAGAAAAGTTACTCTTGGGAAATATATAACTTTTCTTGTTCAATTACAAAATTTTTGTTTTCATTTTTATGTTTTGTATAGGATATGATTATGATGATGTATGTGAAACCAATTATAATGTTATTATTGTTATTGTGTTACATTTAAATTTGTGTTCTTATGATTTAGATAATGTTATATAAAATTGTCAACAGATTCTAAAATTTTAAGTGTAAATTCATGTTGGTTATTATGTGTCATAAATTATAATTATACAAATTATAAATTATAATTCACAAATTTAAATGATGTTTTCATAATTGTCTAATGATTTGGATTAACAACAGTCTGCCTTTCATTTATAAACAAATTTGTTTAAAATTCTTATAGGTTATCTTATTCATCACTAAATCATGGTCAGATAAATTATAAATCCATAATTTACAAATTTAAATGATGTTTATATAATTGCCTAATAGTTTCTGCCTTACAACTGTTCTCAAACTATACTACAGAGTGCTCCGTAATGACAGCATCATCGAATTCTGACAAACCACAATGGATGAAAGCGAGCGTATGAAGCCACAAAACATGGTTAATTTTGGGAGAAAATATTAGGAAATTGAAAGATGATTATCAAAAAGACCTCTTCTTTTCAACAAGTAATCAAACAAATATTGACGTTCGTTAGGTCCGCCTTCCTCAATTATGGTTTGTCAGAATTTAATAGTTTTTTTTTTTACTCGAATTTTCTCAAATACTAATTTGCGACCTAATTAATGTGTAAGCTTTTTGACTCAATTTTTGACAATAGTTCTAAAAATACATGAAACACCCTGCATGCATGTAATCTTCCCATTTTAATTTCAAGTAATTTTGCTATCATCTTCTGCTCCTTGGGAGAATTTAAAGCAGAATTTTTAAATAAAACTAACTTTCAAAATATCTTTCAGCGAATATTTAATTTGAAAAGATGATTTTTGGATACAGTAATATAGATGAATACGACAATCATTAATTATTAAAATATAATAAATTTTAAGATGATGCACTGTTGGTTGGAACATAAACTAATCCTCTCGATCTATAATAATTATCGACAAATAAAATTATTTTTATATTTATCAGTGAATTAGTGTGACATAAAATTATTTGAATCGTGTGCGATCAGTATAGTGTTTGAATTTGTTATCAATAAAACATTCAATACATAAGTTACTCTCAAATAGCAATTCAATACTTATTTAAAAACCTTTTTAGATTATCTCTGGAAAAATCATTATTTTTCAAGAGAACATTATTAGTTAATATAATAGAGTGCAATGTAATAAAATTGTTATAATATTTTGCTATCAGTACAGTATTTTATTTTGTAAATCAGAGAACATTTCAAAGGAAATATTTGGTACTTTTAAATAGCAAGTCTATATTTCTTTGAAAACTTTTTTAATTAAAAAAATATATATCTCTGAAAAAATAATTATATTTTTTAAAGCGAGAAGTGTTGAAATTAATCAGGGTTAATGCGCACCTAGAAAAAATTATAAAATGGCAGTTATATAAATTTTTTCATTTTATTATGTTTGTAGCTACCAGAGTATTTTATTGTTTATAAGTAAATATACAGATTGTCCCGTAAATGTTGCGACGAACTTCTAAGGGAAGTAGGCAATGCTAGGAAACCATGAAAGAAAATGTCATCTTACGCTGCTAGGGGTGCTTTCCTTTTATGGACATGTTGTTCGTGTACCTTCGAACTTGCACTTTTATTTTTCTGAAAAATTTTAATTTCATGTAAATTCTATGTTTCTATTTTGTTTTATTTTATAACCGTCGTCGAACAGCTGACCCAATTTTGGGTTTACGACTACTAATGTTCTTATGTTACTATTATTTCATCTCATTTTATTTCATAACCGTTGCTTAACGGCAAACCCAATTTTTTAGGTTTGCAACTACTAATGTTAAACTACTTAAACTTCTAATTTTGAACCCAATCCAGAAAACAAGGGAACTCCTGGGAGATTAGTATCTAAGTATCTTCAAGCATTGGGAGAAATTTTGCTTCCGTTGAGGATTTTTTGATGGAACTAACCCGCATTTGCGTTAAATGGAGAGGAAGACCGCGAGAACCTCCCACGGTTAGCCTAACGGCAAAGGCACTCTCACCCTTGATCCGTCTACCACTGAGGATATTTCACGTCAGCAGTGTGGTCGGGGCAAGACGGATGCGGAATTTGTATCGACCCGCCATCGCCGGGATTCGAGCCCGGTTCAGCTCATTGGAAGACGAACGCTCTATCCCCTAAGCTATCGTGGCTATGTTACTATTAATTATTGTAAATAGTTCTATTAAAATAGACTCAGAAAAGTTGTTTATCGTAATTTAATGATTAGATGAGCTTGTCCAGTTAGTCACCAAATTGTTAAATTACGGTAAAACAGCTAATACTGTGCCTATTTGAAAGCAGTTTTTGACATTAAATTATAAAAAACAGAAAATTCAGATGAAAAAAAGAAGTACCTGATGTTCAAAAGCACACTATGTAACAGTTCATAATAGGAAAGCGCCTCTAGCAGCGTAAGATGACATTTCCGGTCATGGTTTCCTAGGTAATGCTTAATCCTTATGATGTGCCCTACTTTCCCTAGAAGTCTGGCACAACATTTACAGGACACCTTGCATGTAGGTGGCAGATATAAAGTTTTATTTCAATAGTGGAAGTTAATATTAAAACATTTTTAATTTTCCTAGGTATCAATTTTCTTTATAGCATGATTGATACTACTTATTAATTTCTTCCAGGTGCATATGAACCTTGATTATTTTAAAAATTTTGATTAAATACTCACCACGTTCGCTAAACTGTACTTTTCATAGAATTTTATATCGATCTCTTTTTTCTAACTTTTTTATACCTTTTGCATTATGTAAGGTATTTTTAATTATTCCAGCAATATTTTGTTTCGAACCATTATTCATTTTAAATAACCTCATAGAAATTTTTTTTGAAATGAGTAACATAGAACTATTCTCTTTCATTTTAAAAGAATCATATACTGTAAGGAATTCTTCTTGATGTAAATTATTTTCTTTTCTTACTGTTCGTTGATAAATCTTTGTTAAATTAATGTCAACAAATATCCACCTACTTATCTTGTTTAAAAGCAAATTATGTCAAGTATAATAATAAGAAATTATATTATTATATTAAAAAAGTTAAAAAAAACATGATTATTCTCTAAAGTTATTTAATAGTGATTATAAAATCAATGTAACAATTAAAAGATGATAGCAATTTTTTTAATAAATATTTATTTCAGTCTTTTCACTCACAGCACAGTACCCTGATAAATCAGTAAATGTTGTCATCAATTTAAGAACAGCATAAAAATCATTTAAAAAATGCAAGAAATAGTAGAGAACATTTTCAAGGTGCTTTTCATACTAAGGTGCATGATTTTGATCGATGTTCCCTTTATATAGATT